CCAATAAACTCCTCGCCTTTATTAACACATGTTCTCTCAAGCAAGTGTTATTGCTCCACGAATTCTCCGCCGACAGTTACCTAATATTGCGTGTTGTGCTCGTTGTATGTTGATGTTTATGGTTGGTGTGCTTGTGGTGTGTGTGTGTGTGTGTGTGTGTGTGTGTGTGTGTGTGTGTGTGTGTGTGTGTGTGTGTGTGTGTGTGTGTGTGTGTGTGTGTGTGTGTGTGTGGTAAATAGCTCCCAAATGCGGCCTTTCCATTTCCTGCTGGATTAATATAATAACTTTAAACTTATTATTTCTCATCATATTTCATTTTGAAGCCATTTATTTGACATTCTTTAACAATCTCCTCTTACAGTCCGCTCCATTTACTTGCAACTCTTTTGCTGTCAATATCTCTTAATATCCTGTATGTTGCTAAAATTCCCCCCCCCCCCAACTGTATCTGGTCTACACTGTTAAGGATTCCTTTTTGTACTGGGAAGTACCCAGGAAGAAATTATGGACAGCAAACAGAAAATCCCTATCATGTGGAGAGTCTCATAGCTAGAAAAGGCTCTTCATTTTTTTAGAAATGATATCGAGCATAGATAAGGCGACATTTTTCCATTATAATGCTTTTCCTGTGTGCATGTTTGAGGACGTCGTTTATAACAGTTACAGAGACTAACTTTAAGTCACTTAGGATCATGAACTCAAATGTTATATCCCCAGTACAGATCGCTCTCACAAATTCATTAATATAAAATAAACCGCAAATTACTCATGGACAAGAATATTCCAAGAAATTGCAAAATTAAAACCAAAATTATTTTCAATAAAAAGACAAGTACATAGTAGTAAACTATAAACTAGCTAGTAATTCTAAGATATTAAAGAAGGACAACCCGAATTGAAAAAATTAGATAAAGAGTTAAAGGTGAACAAAATATTTAGTGTAAGAACTGACTTAGAAACCTTTGTGTTCACTGGGAATGAAATATGAACGCGTGTGTTTATAGTAAAATACTAGAGCAATGTTTATATTGGCCTATCAGTGCTTCTGATGTGCCACACTGGTATAGCAGGTCCTGAGCCTGTCATGACACCAAGTCCATCGTTACTCTTACGATGCTTAAGTTGTCCTAGTTGGGGCGTTTTCTTGAACACTGATATCAGGTTGCCCACCTACCTATCATCCTAAAGACAAGCCAATTAACAAAATGCCCTTAACTGGAGATTACAGGAAAAAATTTATATTAAATGACATTGATATGGACCCGAGGATCCATATTGGGTTCATTCCCGGTGAACACAAAGGTTTCCAAGTTAAAAATCTATTTCAACTGTCAAAATAACGTTATTACTGAATCTAACATCATGCAAAGCAGCATGGACGCCCTTCTCTAGTCTTCACACGTGATAAACACTTCTCCACAAGCTTCAAACGTCTACCACGTTGAGGGGGTTATGTTGAAGGCTCACCAACCGCGGGAGGAGCATTAAAGCCTCCATACCACCTTACCTTACCAACATAGGATACTTTTTTAGCCCTGAAAAAATTCAAGACTAAAGTAGACTGAGTGTAGATACACTGAGGGGCTGGTACACTCTCCGCTGTGTCCCGGTGGTGCGGGAGATGCAGTCCAAGGGTGTGTTACTGAACGTTAAACACGAACTGATCTTCTGGAGTGGACTTCTGCTGCCGTCATCCTCCAGCGTCCTCGGGGTGCTTGAAGAGGGACCACACGGCTATGACAGCTGTGTAACCAACATATCCCTCTTAATAAGCAGTCGTGATGGATGATGTACTTATCACAGCACCGAGCGGGGCAGTTCCTGCCTGATCAGGGCCCCACCACGACCGATCAGGGCCCCACCACGACCGACCAGGGCCCCACCACGACCCTCCAGGGTCCACCACGACCGACCAGAGCACACCACGACCGACCAGGGCCCCACCACGACCAACCAGTAGTCACAGTCAATCTTGAGCCCTTAGGACTCCCCTCTGCACTTACCAAGGATTAAAAAAAATCGAACAAAATATTGCAGCAGGAAGAGACCATTGAACAAAAGCACCTTGTTGCTGCTCAACTTGTGCTAGTGAGACTAAATTATTCATGCCATTCTTACTCCGACGTAATAATGTATGAAGTGAATAGCCTTTCAGCGTATATTCTGCTCTGATAATCGGCTTTGCAAAATTTAACTATTGGTGAATATTTGGGCAGGAAATATTAAAGGGTAATTTTTTTTTTAAATTCAGTAATTAGAAAGCTGCTTAATATAAAAATTATATTTTATATATATATATATATATATATATATATATATATATATATATATATATATATATATATATATATATGTCGTACCTAGTAGCCAGAACTCACTTCTGAGCCTACTATGCAAGGCCCGATTTGCCTAATAAGCCAAGTTTTCATGAATTAATTGCTTTTCGACTACCTAACCTACCTAACCTAACCTAACTTTTTCGGCTACCTAACCTAACCTATAAAGATAGGTTAGGTTAGGTTAGGTAGGGTTGGTTAGGTTCGGTCATATATCTACGTTAATTTTAACGCCAATAAAAAAAGATTGACCTCTTACATAATGAAATGGGTTGCTTTATCATTTCATAAGAAAAAAATTAGAGAAAATATATTAATTCATGAAAACTTGGCTTATTAGGCAAATCGGGCCTTGCATAGTAGGCTGAAAAGTGAGTTCTGGCTACTAGGTACGACATATATATATATATATATATATATATATATATATATATATATATATATATATATATATATATAATTATATTGCTAGCAATCTTTCTATGAAACATTTGTTGAATATGCTCGAAATGGTAAGATTAAATGATTGTGTAATTTATTTATAAAACACGGTTAAATATTCGTCCTTAATATTATGCCAGTAATGTAGTTTAGTTATGTCAGTTAACTGGCATAAAAGGAAAAGCCTATATATGTTGACATTTGGCTGGGAACAATTTTTTTTTTTTGGTCACACATTGTCAAACTACTCTTGGGCGGTGCTGAGCTGCAGACCTGGGCTGAGCTAAGCTTCAGATCTTTGCTGAGCTAAGCTACAGACCTGGGCGAATTATCAATTCTCCTACACACACAAGTTATCAGCGAATGGTTTAGTATTCAAGCTGCATTTGACTTGCAAGTACATCCTTCTGTCGGGCGAAGTTAACTTACTGTTTCTTCCAGGAAATTGACCTCCACCTCCGCCTCTCCCTAACCCTTGGAATGCTATCTTCTCATGGCTGCAGGATTCGCCCTCCAATAACCCAGGAAGAGTTTACTGTGGCTGCTAAAGCCATTCTTGTGGCAAACAGAATAGGAGACAGACTAAGACCTTCATACTCTGAAGAACAAGCCCAGTTGTACTACAGATATTCCGTATCCAGATTGACCAGATGTGACTGGTCTGTGTATGACAAAGTTAACAACGTGACTTACCTTCACTTGCCTTCTCTACAACTTCCACAAACAAGACCAGCCACAAGCAAGGCGAGCCACAAGCAAGGCGAGCCACAGGTGACTACCACAGAATGTTCATTAGGCACGGAGAAAAATGATGGCGCTTCGTGCATCTAAAACTCGCCACATACCGGAACTGGTTGCAACAACTAACCGAGACTCCCACTAACATTTGAAACACTCGAGGCGGTAAATGAATGGCTCTGAATTGTAATGGAACATGTTTAAAGTATACCTGTGCTTCCATACTGTAATTAACCGAAGAGATGACGTGAAGGTGCAGCTCTCGGCACCCAGAGTAACTCATAAGTGATGTGTAGAATGAGTGAATAACATACGTTTCACGTCTAATTGTATTTGCTACACACACACACACTAGTAGCTGACAACTGGAATGCATTAGGAAGTGATGTGGTGAAGGCAGACTCCATACACAGTTTCAACTATATATATGATAGAGCCCAGTAGGCTCAGGAACCTGAACATGAGTGGGCTGATAATTGAGAGGCGAGATCAAAGAACCCAAGATCAACCTCCGCAAGCACAACTAGGGGAGTACACACCTACCCACAGCACACACCAGCCTCCTATTCCCCCTCACAAACCCCTACATTCAACCCCACCCAACACACCACCTCCCCTGCACCTGGGGAGAGGAGATGGGAAACACCCACCCAGCCCACACACTGAAACAAGCACCCCTTGAACTTAAGTGTGCTAACTTCCTGGAACTTAAGGAACTTTATGAATGCACCCAGTGTAGAGGCGCACCACTGAAGGTTCGAGGACCAGCTCGACTCAAGTTCCTGACTATAGACAGGTATTTTATCTATAACCACTGCGATAAAAAATAATTATTATAGTTTGATGAGATTATATAAATTTAACTTTTAGAAGTTGTGCGGCGGTTGGTTTAAATATTTGGTAGGGTTTATAATAATAATAATAGTAATTAATTGTGCCGAGGGACAGTCAGCCAGTATATATGTACATATTAAGCTTATATCGAGGTCCCCCCCCCCCCCAGGTCGAATTACTGACCCTTCCCAGAATGCAACCTCACAACAAGCTGATTAACTCCTGGTTACCTATTTACTGCTAGGCGAATAGGGTATTAGGTGACAGGAAACGCACCCCCCTTTCCACCCATTTCTGTCCCGCCCGGAATTCGAACCCGGAATTCTAGAGCACTAGAGTGTGGCGCCCTAGCCTCCAGAGCACCACACAAAGGAGAACGTCTTATCCAAATCACACAGGCGCTCACGGAGGAATCATGCAAATGGAATATCATCTTACCTGCAGACGAGGAGTCACAATAACGTGGCTGAAATATGTTGACCAAACCACACACTAGAAGGTGAAGGGACGACGACGTTTTGGTCCGTCCTGGACAATTCTCAAGTCGATTGTGAATGGTCACAATCAATTGACTTGAGAATGGTCCAGGACGGACCGAAACGTTGTCGTCCCTTCACTTTCTAGTGTGTAGTTTGGTTATCATCATCTTACCTGTATCCCCTAAGCGTGCCATGGTGCAGGTGGGGGTCAGGCGGCGCCCAGGTGATCTGGACGCTGTCCCAGGAGAAGCCGGTGCATCGCAGGTCCTGAGGAGCTCCACCCGGCGCTGACGAGACGAGAGAGATCTTCAGGACACGCGTAGCCTCACCATGGGTGAGGACAACTCACACAGATTATACGGAAATTTCAGTGACAGTGATATATACAACCCGTCCTCCTAATACAACGTCGCATTTTGACGGATACTCCACCTAAGTGCTAAAAATTGTATTAAAAAATGGTAGCGGCTCTCGTATTGACATACTGTCCCGTTTTCTGTTTTGGGTCGTAGGTTAGGATAAGGGCACTTTAGTACAACAATTTCTTGACGTTCGGATACCTTAGGAAGACGAGCTGATGTATAAAAGTACAAAGAATGAGTTGCTAAATGATCATTGCAATTACGTCTAAAAAAGCCCAAAATATTGGCATCTCGGGATGGGAACTAAAACAGACCGCGAATTCGTCTTTGTCAGTCAAATACAGCGCAGTGATGTTGTGGATTTAGAGGCGAGGAAATAGCACAGTGTAGCAACACCCCGAGAGAACCCTTGCATTCTTACCGTCCTCTCTGGTGGTGACGGCGGCCGGGGAGCTCAGAGGGCCAGCACCCTCGGTGTTGAAGGCCTGCACCACCAGGTGGTAGTCAGTGTGAGGGGCGAGTCCCGCCACACTCACACTCCACACCCCCTCGCCCTCTGGCCCGCTCCTCACGCTCTCAGAGCTCTCCACTGTCGTGAAGTTGTACTGGGGAGCGCCCGTAGACCTAGAAGAATGCAGATGAAGAGTCACAATAACGTGGTTGAAAAATGTTGACCAAACCACACACTAGAAAGTGAAGAGACGACGACGTTTCAGTCCGTCCTGAACCATTCTCAAGTCGACCAGGACGGACCGAAACGTCGTCGTCTTTTCACTTTCTAGTGTATAGAAGAATGGTATGAAACATTATATTACCGTAAAAAAATAGATAAAGAAACTGCATGACAATTCACGACTCCTTGCATGGATATCCACAAACGTGTGCAAGAATCTATTACTGCGTGAAGCATAGTAATGTGGACATCTCTAGAGTCCGGTTACCAGTCGGGTCACATCCCAAAGGTCCCGGGTTTAATGCTCGCGGCAGGGTAAATACGTTTGGGCAAAGTTTCCTTTCAGCTAATGCTTTTGAACACCTAATAGGTACTCTTGGAGTTAAATAACTGTCGTGGGCTGCATCCTGCCAGAGATCACTCGTGTCGGAAAATCCGACACCATTTAATATCATACAGATGATAATTGCTGCTGTATTACCAACAAGTTACCCATAGAAAACGTAACTTGTAGTGGAATTACCGTCTATAGAAAACGGGATATCATCACCACATACTATTATAATTCACCACCTATTATGGTGGGAATTATTCTTAAATACATTAGTCTTTGGACTTTACCATCATAAAACATCTCATATAAATTAACTTAATTATCAATATTAAAGTAGAGTAAATGTGACCCTTCTATCACTTATTGACATCTGGACAATGTAGGCCAGTGGGGCTGTAGGTCAGTGGGGAAGGAGGGCAGCCATTGTTGTTGTCACCTCCGAGACGCGTGGAACAAATTCGGCTCCTATTATATCTGGACAATGTCGGCCAGTAGCGTCAATAGTATGGAGTGTTAGACATTGCCATTGTTTATACTAGACCAGAGGCATGGGAGCAAATTCGGCTCCTGTTAATTTTACTTAGACATAGTGTTATGGAAACCAAAGGTGTACCATTATCAACACGCTGTCAACAAATCAAGTTAAGTGTTCTTTCCGAAACCCGTTTATTTTCATTTATGGCCATTAATGTCATTATATAGGGTGACCCGGTTAGAGCACGTGGTAGCCTCAAACTAAAGGTAATTAAGCCAGGTCTTCATTGTTCCATGTATAGTGTTTCTCTGATATACCCGTCATATATAGGATTCTGGCTTTTCAGCTAGCGCCCTTTTAACAGGTCAAGACGAGGAAGCAATGCTTTGTGCATCAGTTACCAGGGTGATGGAAGCTACCTCAAAGAGGGAAAATGTGGAGTCTACACCCTAGTTATACCTGGTGGACTAACCTGCTGTACTATAAGATAAGGAACCTCTTCAATGTATGTAGTCTAATACTGTAGTTTGATTATCTGCATATATATAAATTTAATTAATATAAACCCCCCTAATGTGTAGAGGATTGATTTGTGAGATTGAGATTATTGCAGAAATACAGTCCACTTAACATCATACAAATTGCTATCGAAGTATATAAATTAACGTAAATATAAATTCATATAAATTAAATAAATATAAATCTCACAGGTCGGTTCCCACAACTCGTTGGTTAAGCCTAGAGGAATCTCGGTACGTCTAACAGGGTTACTGCCCCTGATTATGAAAAACCAAATGACTTTTGGCCATATTTAGGAGGACTGTTGTTTTTAGTAACTTTGAAACATTGGACCTCCATCCAGTGACATTTGCACTAACAAGTGGTCTCGCTATTCTATACACTAATTATATATGTATGTATACATACACACTGTTCCATCTCATGAATCGGTTATCGTATTCGTAAACAATGTGCGACTCTTCTCGTGATATCGTTGAAAGATATATCATACGCAACCTGTATCAAGGCTTAAAAGGTACGATACACGCTGTCCCTGAAGACTAAGATATATGGCATGAAAGGTGAAGAGGCTCTAAAGTATCATATTTGCCATTTTTAAATGTCATAAAAAGAAGTCCTTAAGTGTGCCAAAACAGATGATAAAAAAAGAAGCCTCTCCCGTATCTGGCTCAAAAGTCTCACAATGTTACACAAAAGTGGCCATTGAACATTTTGTCCAAAACAGAATATTCTGAAGTTATAACTGTATTGTAATATAAATCGATGTTTAAAATATAAAAAGTTATGGTAAACTCATTTTCTTCATTGCAAAATTCTAGGGTATACTCAAATAGTTTTCAAATTTCATATATCACATATTTGAGACATACACTGTTTTAACAAAACCAAACTTTAACCTATCCTTAACCTAAGCATAACCTAACCCTGATAGGGAATAAATACTATCACTATGTAGTAGTTTTGATGTGATAATTACGAGGGTACAAACCTCCTGAACAAGTTGAATGGATGCATAACAAACTGGTTACAATTAACTGGAGTTGATGTAAATAAACAAAAGGAACATATTATACAGGAGAAGGATTGAGGACAACTCACCCAGCCTGACGAATGACGGGGGCGTAGCCCAGGTAATACCCCAAGATGGTGCCGTGAACTCTGTCCGGTGGCGGAGGGCGCCACGACACCCGCACCTCCCGGGATCCGGTGGCTTCGGCTCGCAGATCTCTAGGCGGCGCTCCGGGCTTCTCAGCCGAGGTGGTTAACCGCAGGTCTTCCGAGGGTGGCGACCTGCCCAGGTGGTTGACGGCCACTACCCGGACCACGTAGTCAGTGGCGGGCGTGAGCGGCGAGACCTCCACGCCCGTTGAGATCCCCGTGGCTTTCACCGTCACTTCCCTGGCCTCGCCCCAGCCCTCCAGAGAGCGACGGAACTGCAGGACGTAAGAGGCGGGTGGCGGGTCAGGTGCGGTCCAGGACACCCGCACCGCCCGCGAGCCCTCGCTCACAACCCGCAGCCCGCGAGGTGCTGATGGCGGCTCTGTTGTGTGAATGAATGAAGTTATCAGATTCTTAGGTTAACTGTGTAATACAGAGGTGAAAGACTTTTGGCTACTTTGAATGTGAGAGTTAATATGCGAGTACAAGTGCGTGTAAATTTGAAGAACATGTTCATCATATGATTTTGAGTGAAATATAACAAATACGTGGAACACTGACCGTGAACACTGAGCTTGAGCGTCTGGGAGTTCCTGCCATAAGTGTTGTGAGCCGTGCAAGTGTAAACACCAGCGTCCGTCTGCATGGCTGCACTCACCTCCAGTTTAGCCACCGTCTCCCTCCCCGGCTCCACGGACACACTCTCTGAGTACCTGGCAAGGACGGCGCTAGTCTCGTCATCACGGACATGGCTGATTACTGAGCACCAACAGACACGGTGTGCTCCGAACTACACGAAATTGGGAACAGAGATTAATTAAGATTAGGAAGGGGGGTTGATGGTGGGGAGAGGACTGCTAGTGGTGGATCAGTGACTAATGGGAAGATCGAGTGCTTAACAATTCTCTAAACAATTTGGCGTGTTCAATTCTTGTCAAATGTTCATGTTGCATCAAGAAACAGTAAGAACAGGCCTTCATAGTAAGGTAAGATACTGAAAAAATTTTGCTACCAAAAAAACGTCGTATCTTGATCGTGTTTGTATGCAAATTGAAGTTAGAGGTGTCTAGTTCGCCAGCAACACGAATATTTATATACGGAACGTATTCAAATTCTTTGTTTAATATTGTGTTTAAGGAAATGGCTCAGTATTGATCAGAGGCAATATTGTGCTGACATTTGTTTGGAATGAGAACAAATACAAAGGTATTTACTGCAGTTGGCGAAGTACCAATATAGAGAAGCCCCGTTCGAGACCAATAGACCTACAGTTTCGAAGTTCTACTTAACAATTCTGGTAAATGTTTACAAAGGGGATTTAAAAAATCTTTTCGGTTAATTTTTTTTCAGATTTTCAAACAATACAGTGTGTAGGAGTTTAACAGACAAATTGTACACCCATCTCACAATCATTTGAAGTAACGTTAATGTAATCTCAACTATCCCGTACATAACACTTATTCAGAGTTGAATATTAATCAAGACATTTTATAATTACATATCACGTTGTCATTCTGCCTGAAACTTTGTGTACGTCCAAATTCGTCCCAAAATTCATATAAACTTCCTGCTGGAAAGGTTATTTAGCAACGTCTGATCTCACAATCTTTGCGGCCTTCCATCTTCGCCCTGTTTATTGCTCTGGCCCAAGGCTCACATTTTGGTGTGTGGAGGGAAGCTCGCCTCCAGTAGTGACAGAGGACGCACCTTGCCGAGTCTTGAAGCAACACGTCGCTTAAGGGACGCTAGAAGAGAATGATGAAATAAAAGTGATGAGAAAATGGTGGAGATTCACCTTGTAGGTGATGGAGGGAGACCCACCTGGGTGAGTGGTGGAGGGAGGCACCACGGAGGGCCCAGGTGACGGTGAGAGGAGGGTCACCTCTCACCCGACACTCAAGAGTGGCCGACTCTCCCGCCCTGACGTCGACCGTGTTGATGCCGCCGGTAAAGTATGGCGCCGCTGTAGAAAGAGTGACATTAATGTCATGATGACTGTAGCTTGTCTTCCCCTGCCCTTACCTCCCATGCCAGCCCTCACTACCTGCCCTCATCCCCCCATGCTACACCCAACACACAGACGTGAGCAGTATTCCACGAAGGAGCATGCCTACCCCACATCCATTATAATATATAATGGATTAATATTCTTATTCATAAACATTTTAATGTATAGTTTGGCGTAGGTTAGGTTAGGTGTTTAGGTTCTGTTGGTAATTATTTGTATTTATATGTTCGTGGGTGAAGCATTTATAGAACTGTGGTTTGAACTGAGGACGTGAGCGAAGCATTTGTTCCGGAAGTGTTCGGACGTCATCAGTTGCGAGTCGTGTGTAAACCGCTTTTCATTCATAAACAGGGGGGTTGGCGGCTGGATTAAAGACCTTGTATCTTCGTATGCGAGAACGGGTTGTTTTCACTCAAACAGGGGGTTTGGCGGGTGCATAGAATGGACTTTGGCCTTTATGAGGACGGGCTCCGCGTTTAAACCATTTTTTCGTCATAAACAGAGGGTGTAGCGGCTGAATTAACGAGTATTTGGTCTTTGTTGATGAGGACGGGCTGTGAACTGGGTCTATTATGAGAGAGATATGAGGCTGCTCCTTAATGAACGGGTTGTACAGTGGTATACTTACTCGAGGAGCAGAATATGTGAGAAGTGTACGACCCGAATATAAAGAAAGTATAAAGAACATTTTAGAAAATAGGATTTTTTTTAAGTTTTTAAGTAAGAAAGAGCATTCTCCAGTCATTATTTTGCAGGGTGGCTCTTAGAGACTTAAATCACTGGCCATCTGAGGAGCTCAAGGGAAGAAAAATATTCGTGCTGAATGTATTTACTCGATACCAAAATGGCGCGTCACTTTTAGAGTTATTTAGTAATTAGTTGACATGCTTGTAGTGGAAGTTTTCATTAGCTAATATGATTCTATTGACTCAGCCTCTTGCTAATGAGAGACCAAATGAGACTAGTGTTATATCAGAAACCTGATAATGTGACCGAATGCCAACTAGCGTGACAACGCACTTGTCACACTTGAACAGGTGTCACACTTCACACAAACAGGTGTGAAGGCATGCCAACAAAGCCTTGCAACAGCCGCAGGGAGAAGATAGGCAGGCGAGGTGGTACTCACAGTTGACAGCCACGTTGATGGTGGAGGTGAGGTGGCTGACAGAGTTCTCAGCGCGACAGACGTAACTCCCAGCGTGGTCCGGCTCAGCTCGGGCGATGTACAGGGACCCATTAGACAGGTGGACAGCTCGAGGCGTCACAAGCTCCACGCTCCGGTACACCTCGGGTCCCGAACCTGTTCGGAAAGATGTTCCAAACATTCACGAGATCTGTAACCAGCCTGTCCCCTCACGAGCAATGGTTAAAACCCTTCACACACAATCCATCCTTGAATAGGCCGACTCCCGTCACACATTCATCCATTTTAACATACTGTGTATTATAATCGGTGGTTTCTCATGTATAAATTAAGAATATATTATTAATAAGTAGGCATATGTTCGCTTAAGTTAAGCAATAGGCCCTTTGCAGTTACTTCCATTCTTATGCTCTCATTTATCCAATTAATACCCATTGTTCCGTGTTCTGTCTTGTGTTTGTCAAAAGTTTATTCATTTCATCCAAAACTGTTGCAATAATATTAATGCAGAGAGAGAGAGAGAGAGAGAGAGAGAGAGAGAGAGAGAGAGAGAGAGAGAGAGAGAGAGAAAGCTGCATGAACGCGCAAGCCATAGATTACCAAGAACTCTTTGACCCGGCCAGGATTCGAACCCATGCCGTCCAGGATCACCCCTAAACGTACACAGTACCGTGACCACCGCACCAATGATATATGTACATATACATACACATTATATATATTTATATATAATGTGGAGAGAGGGGAGTGGATGGGACTCTGGTGACAAAACTGGTGTTGGTTTCGTGTGCGAGAAGGGATTACGTAGAGTGAACTGGGGGCCCCTCGCAGGCCGTCAGACTTAGTGGATGATCCAGATCTAATCCTTATAGCTGTTCCTGGCGCAGTGGCAGCATACATGACTCTTTCATCCCTAACTCTATTTCCTAATTATTAAATCGCTACATTTTTCCTGTTTCTTGTAGCAGTGTTCTAAGTCCTTGATCCTCAATCGATAATCCCGAGTTCGATCCCCCGGTGGGATAAAAATGGTAGGGCTCGTTTCATTTCATCTGACGCCTCTGTTCATCTAGCAGTACATAGGTGCCTAGGAGGAAAGCAGTGGCTGAGGGTTGCACCCTTGGGAAGTAACCCTATGCTTGTTTTGAAGAATGGTCCGTTCGCCTGGAGGTCCTAAGGCCGAGAGTTCAACTCCCTCTCCTCTCATTACACTTATTCAGAAGCGCCAATTCAGCCCCTTATGAAGGGCAGTTTCTAAGCACAAGATCTCAGGGTGCATAGGAAGCCTGCTACTCTACACACGATTGTTTAATTCATCACAATAATTCACGCTAAATGTGCCGATTACATAGTTCCCAGAAAGGAAACAATGCGAAGAATGTTGAATAGCGAGCTTGAGTTGTTTCAAATGATAACACGTTCGATATCGGTCGTTTGTGGTACTTTTGATGATGTTTCATGTTTGTTATTATTGCCAGTGAACAGAGATGAATGTGTTCCATGTGGCAAGTGCACTTCCCTCCTCAGAAAAATGCACATAAACAACTTTGCATGCAATGCATATACTTTATTTTATTGAAATAGTTATTTTTCATACCCTGTATGAGACAAAGTATGAATAAAGCCCATCCCTAGAGCTCTTGGGGGTCCATTGACCCCAGGTCAAGAACCCCTGGTCTAAACTATTATAAGATAGAAGAAAAATGAGACATGATCGCGATATATAGCATCCACGTGGAAATTAAAGTAAGACGAATTGTTAAAAAAAAATCAGCAGAATACGATACCATGAAAGGATGCTAGAGCCAGTGAAATCACAGAGATGCAAGGAATAGTTCTTTTGCCTAAGAGTATGGAGCAAATTAAAAGCGAGATGGGTGTGTAAAATTTCATGTATTAGAAATCAAATGTTTTGGGAGGCATTGCAATAGAGTTAATAAAGGTGGAATCCAATCGACTTGAGAATGGTCCAGGACGGACCGAAACGTCGTCGTCTCTTCACTTTCTAGTGTGTGGTCTGGTCAACATATTTCAGCCACGTTATTGTGACTCCTCGCCTGCATGTGGAATCCAAGTGATAATACTCAATAAAGCATGCACAATTAGTTGAACCTCGCCACGCGCGCGCGCAAAAATAAACACACACACACACAGTTGTAGGTTGAAGAGGCAAACTCCATTTATAACGTTACAAGCAGGTATGATAGGGAAATAGGCCAAGAGTCATTGCATTAGGCAACCAACGGTTAGACCAGCGGGGACCAAGAACCAGAGCTCAACACCCGCAAGCACAATTAGGTAAGTATGTACACACACACACACACAAACCTGAACCCCCCCAAAGCAAGCATCAAGTACTCAAACTTGACAAAGAGTACTTTCTTTTATGTAGACCATCAATCCAGCACAAGTTAATTAACGCTAACTAACCCAGCACATCTGAGAGCTTGGGTCGCCCAACCAGCCCATCAACCACTCCCTCTCAGCTCTACCTCTTCATTTCACTGCATTATATGAGTCAACACTTGAGAACCTGCAAGCGGCTGGAATAAAACAAAATCTTTACCTCTTACACCAGCAGTTTGCTGGGATTTCAGAGTTTATTCGTTGGGTGAGTTTTACCGGCTCTGTTAGCACGAGTTAAGTCCAGTCTGCCTTTTAGCCCTCTTCAGCTTCTCAGTTCTTTTACTGGGTGGCTAATTCGGATTAAGTGCCAGGCGTGTGGAGGAGAGAGTCAGACGGGCCCACACATGTGACTTATTGAAGCCGTGTGGATGTCAGAAGGGCCCACACATGTGACGTATGTCAGACGGGCCCACACATGTGACGTATGTCAGAAGGGCCCACACATGTGACGTATGTCAGAAGGGCCCACACATGTGACGTATGTCAGACGGGCCCACACATGTGACGTATGTCAGAGGGGCTGACACATGCCACACATGTGACATATGGAAGCGTCTCCGAAGGGCTGAGAGGCATGATTCACCTCAACATCACCAGGACATGACTAAAGACACACATCACCAAGTGTGTGTGTGTGTGTGTGTGCGTGTGTGCGTGTGTGTGTGTGTGTGTGTGTGTGTGTGTGTGTGTGTGTGTGTGTGTGTAAGTTTAGAGTGGGTGAAAAAGCTGAATTTAAACGTGAAAACACATGGGGATGTGTTAGGATAGGTATCTTCCTTACCTTATAGTTATGTAGTGGTAGTTCCTGGTATCAATATCTCCGCGGCCCGGACTCTGTCCAGTCATCCTGGTTGGTGGTCTGGTCAACTAGGCTTTCAGACGCAGCTGCGCGTTTGAATCAGAGTCTGATTGATCAGGTATCCTTTGGAGACGTTTATCAAGTTTTCCTTTGAACCACGTGCTAAGTCGGCTACTGACATCTTAGGAGCCAGTCTCTAGACTCCTGAGAGTGTTTTGACAAGTTTTGGTGTCCTTAATGTTGATAGAGATGCCTTGACGTGCCAACTGCACCTCTGCTTATCAACGGGCCTATTTTGCACTTCCTGCTATGCCTCCTGATTTCGTGTGGCATTATTTCCGTGTGAAAAATTGGAACCTGTCCTTCTAATGTTTTCATGTAATTAAGTATATCATGCCTGCGCTCTAGATAATACAGATTAAATAATAATATTTATCTTATAATATCTATACATTTCTACAGTTCGTGTGAATAAGCCTCTGCAAATTCTCCAACAGTAGTATAGTGACCAATATCCAACGTTAACTGATTCACCGAGAAGTGGTTTTCCGAGGGTGATATACTGACAATGTTAAATTAATGATACGACCAACCTTTCGACTTTAATGAAAAATATGAGTACCGACTCTGTGTGTCATTAATTATTTGAGTTTTAAGGCAACATAAGCACATTTCCAAAACTTTTCCAAATGGATAATTTTTATTACAAGGAATCCGATTTTGATAAGTTTATTAGTCATTTAATTTGGACATATATGAAGGGGAACATTCAGAGAATCGTTTAGTTACGAAAATTCATTTCTGAATAGTGCATGTAGACACTTTAAATATTAAATGGCCTCCTCTTCAGCCACGAAGCTAATGTCGTCTGTCTCGTGTTTACATTTAATCAAGTGAGCACTGCATGTGTTACCTTCCTGCAGTGAGCAGTACACGCAGTGCTCACTGCAGTGGGAAACACATTTGTTCCTGCTTGCAGTGAACACTACATTTGTTCCTGCTTGCAGTGAACAGTACACGTGTTACTGCTTGCAGGCGATGAGTCACAATAACGTGGCTAAAGTATGTTGACCAGACCACACACTAGAAGGTGAAGGGACGACGTTTCGGTCCATCCTGGACCATTCTCAAGTCGACAATCGACTTGAGAATGGTCCAGGGCAGACCGAAACGTCGTCGTCCCTTCACCTTCTAGTGTGTGGTCTGGTCAAGGTGTTACTGCTTACTGGCATTAGTCTAAAGCACTAGTCAACGATGTGTTTCTAATATTAAATGTCCTGCCGTTAAATGATGTTATTAACTGAATGAGGTTATCTTGAGATGATTTCGGGGCTTTAGTGTCCCCGCGGCCCGGTCCTCGACCAGGCCTCCACCCCCAGGAAGCAGCCCGTGACAGCTGACTAACACCCAGGTGCTGGATGCACGAGTGCTGACCTTTGGTGATACATTGGGTAAGAAGGTATTACTATTCACCAAACAGGTCCAATTTACGAGGCACTCTGAGAGGTAATCAGAACTTGTGCATAACCTAAACCAACCAACGAAGAACTTCGACTACAAATTAAAACTTTTCGCTGCCCTCATTTGGAAAGTTGTCGAAAATATCTAGAGAATACGCGCGAATACACACATGCAATAACACACAATGCAACTCCACCTATTCATTTACACACACTAATACATATAAACATTTATATATATATATACACATACCCCTCAAACTCTTATACATAAAGTAATTCTGAAAAAGAGGGGATGGGAATTATCAGGGGATGGGAATTATCAGGGGATGGGAATTATCAGGGGATGGGAATTATCAGGGGATGGGAATTATCAGGGGGATAGAGCCAAGCCACTAAGACTATACAGCACTTGGTCAGGATAAGAGGGGAAAGCTTTGAGACCATCAGCAAGAGGAACAAGGGGACAAAACCGTAAATTTGGGGCAATCGGTGAGCACAAGGGCACCAGGAGAAATATGACTGGAACGGACTCCAGGAGCCAGAATAGCCCAAAATAACAACCCAATTTCAGAAATGTGCCCGGCCCTTATTCTTGTAACTACACAGAGGTAATCACTCGTTGACTCTGACAGCGTCCGGGAGTCACAGTCCATGGATCCGGGTTCGATTTCCGGCCGATGCAGAAAGACATAGGTAGAGTTTCACAACATGCCTCTGTTCCATTAGCAGTAAATGGGGTACCTGTCAATTGTACAGCTGTCCCGAGCTGCATCTTGGGAATATCTGTGCGTGCGTGTGTGTGTGTGTGTGTGTGTGTGTGTGTGTGTGTGTGTGTGTGTGTGTGAAATATATGCAATAGATAGAGAAAATTAGGTCGGGAGTCAGTACATTAGATAACCGACAGTTAGAAAGGCGGGGTTCAAAAGCTAACAGCTCGATCCTGCAAGTACAAACACGCAGTGTACGCACGCACGCACGCACGCACGCACAAGAGAGAACTGCACTTACAAACCTGAACAACTAACCATTCGGGATCTCACTTATGAATCCCACAGGATGTAGAGACAACGTGGAGTCCTAATATTAATTAACAAATATATAACGAAGGTGTTGGCTGTCCAGATAACTGCCACCAGACTAGTCTCAGAACAAAGAGGAATGAGCTACAAAGAAAGGCAAGGTGAATTAAACCTCACATCACATGAAGACAGAATGGTTAAAAGGAAGGAAGGAACTATCAGGAAAAACCGCCAAGCCATTACGACTATATAGCACTTGGAAGGGGTCATGATAAGGATTTAGGATGGGACGGGGGGGGGGGGGAAGAAATGGTGCCCAACTACTTGGACGGTCGGGGATTGAACGCCGACCAGCATGAAGCGAGACCGTCATTCTACCGTCCAGCCCAAATGATTGGAGACACGATTTACTCCTAACAATTTTCAGAGGAATTAATGATAGGAGAGAGAGGTTGAGAGAGTGTAGCACGGGGTGGAACACGAACAAGAGGAGACACTGGCGACTAAATGTCCAAATTGTGGTGGCGGCTGTGATCAACATCTCTCAAGGGAATAACAGAAGACTCGGGTAATTGGAAGGGAGGATATGCAACAATAACAATAATTCATGCAATATTCCTTAATTTCGTTCAAACTTGTACTTTAAAAGTTTCTTTAAGAGACAAATTTATTATGGAACCGTAGCAAGTTGCCTCTTTGGTCAAAGTTATGTAAATGAGATTAAATATTGTATCCATATTTAGTGTCTTATGTTTCTCGAGATCACAGAGCATTGGTGCTGTTGGTAACTATATCCATCACAAATTGTAGGGGAGATACATAGTGATTACGTTCTAATTGACATAAAAGCGTACGTTGATCATATGTTCTAAGTCTACTGACAAAACTAGGAAGTGATCTGGCATAAAAAAAGGAAGAATGGAATTATAAGGAGAAAACCACGCTATTACGACTATATAGCACTGGGAGGGGGTCAGGATAGGGATTTGGGATGGGACGGAGGTGGGAAGGAATGGTGTCTAACCACTTGGACGGTCGGGGATTGATCGCCGACCTGCAAGAAGCGAGACCGTCGCTCTACCATCCAGCCCAAGTGGTTGCATTGGACGGTAGATTCCTGTGAAAATGAAAACCTTGAATTATCCATTTTCACAGGTATATTCATCAAGGATCGCAATTGTATCTTTCTGCCCCATCAAATAATATCCTTCGTTTTTTTATGATTACATTTTTACACATGCTCACATGAGGTTTGTTGAAAATTGCAGATCATATATTGCACACGATCAAGGCTTTCCGCTACTGACTTTCTTAAAGACTGTGCAAGCTGGTTGAGTGTACCTAAGGGGAGGCATATTTTAGTTCAAGAACAATCCCCTGAGGTTTGTAACTTATTAGGTCCAAAGGGGTGTCAACTAAGGATGATCTTGAGGATTAATAAAGGATCATTACTTATTACATCAAATGCAACAACACTCTTTCGATGACTACTAGGCGCCTCCTAGTGGACCGAGAGCCTTACCGGTTCCAGATGACGAGGCCTCACAGCTATCATCATTAACATGAAGTACAATCTGAAGGTAGGGCACACTTTGATCTTACCCTCTAGTTATAAGAGCGGCTTCATAAGAACACTGAACTGCTCTCCGGAACAGCAGAAAAACACAAGCATCCCTCCAGCCTCCATCAAGCGTCACAAAGTAGTCCATAAGAGTAAGAACCATGACTTGAAGACGTTCAGGATGACTTACCTTGAATGTTTCCAGCAACTTTCTTCTTCCAGGTGACGGTGGGCTCTGGGTGACCACGAGCCACACAATCCACCACCAGGGCGTGGCCACGGCTCACTCTGGTGTCGCCAGGCTCCAGAACCCACGTAGGCGGCACTGCAGGAGGCAGAGAGCATTTCGTTGGGCGGTGGTGGGACTCTTAAACCCCAGAGGGGCGATAGGTCACGGGGTTCTGAGCGGTGTTGGCTGTACAGGACTTCACAGACCCGAGAGTGAGTTGAGTGTGCACGTATGAAGTGCGTGCGTAGTGTGCGCGTATATAGTGCGTGTATTTGAGTGTTTCTTGTAATGTCGCGTAATTACCTCATGAAATTAATTATTTTACACAAGTGTATCTTATGGTGTGATAATAAAGCGGTATACAACATCTGTCCTGCGCGAGTTTCAGTTACAGGAAAGAACATCTCTTATTTCTGGGAAAACATTTGAACAAAATATGAGAAACCTCTGTGGCGTGAGAAACAAAAGAGTAGTACCTGAACAGCGAATGTGATACAAAACAGGCTGAATTGCATCTATACAACTGAATTGCATTTATACAGTAGGCTTAATATAAGGACAGTAAGTAAAAACATCTGCCTAATCATGTGTTAGACAGAAAAAAATATACATGTGTATACATAGATGCAGTGTGAGGAAGTGTACTCTTGAAAATGAGGCATTATATCTACTTCATCCTGTAAAATACGAGTGTGTGTGTCTAATGCTTATGTGGCATAAAACAGTGTGTTAAGAATCACATAGCGGGTGTGACAGTTGTACTGCAGGTGTGGCAGATACATTGCAGGTGCAATAGATACACTGCAGGTGTGGTAAAAAGAGTGAATGACAACTACTGTGTGTGTGTGTGTGTGTGTGTGTGTGTGTGTGTGTGTGTGTGTGTGTGTGTGTGTGTGTGTGTGTGTGTGTGTGTGTGTGTGATTTAAACTATCCATCATCCAGCTGCAAATGTAAATCCTCTGCTTATATTATATTATTTCAGGAGAGAAAAAACTTGTTAGTTTCCATTAATAGAAAAATATAGAATATCTAGTTTTATATATATACAAAATGTAATCCATTCGGTACACAAAGTTGCATAAAACAAATTATAGCTTTCTATTACTCATTTTTTTTATATTTGTTAAACAAAATTCTACGATGGAGACATGGACATGTAAAACACAGATGCAAAGTTATTCGTTACTGTGCTAAGGTGATAATATCTATTAAGACTAGTCAAAGCAATCGTCCCCAGTAATTGTCTGTGCAACAGTTATTTTACTAAAGCTTCGGTGATGAGAATCTTCTTTGCAGGAAGACCTACGTGAGAATTGTGGCGATACTACTAAACATGTGCTGAGGCGGTGAATGGCTCGGCGAGCCCAGAGAGCAGCAGAGCCCGACCTTAAGCAGGCCAGACCTTAGACAGACCGGATCTCAGGCAGGCCGGATCTCAAGCAGGTCGAGCCTTAAGCAGGCCAGACCTTAGACAGACCGGATCTCAGGCAGGCCGGATCTCAAGCAGGTCGAGCCTTAAGCAGGCCAGACCTCAGACAGACCGGATCTCAGGCAGGCCGGATCTCAAGCAGGCCGGGCATCTGTAGCCAGAGTTCATTGTGCGTCCGCAGTTCACATCCCCAGACTGTGTGGGCACCTGTAGAAGTGTCATGCAGTACAGGAAGGGCACAGGGAGAGGACATGCACTAGGAGAGCTGTGAAAGAGAGTCATGCAAGGGGGGAGTGAGTCGTGCAAATCCTACTGAGCGTGTAACGTGGAGGAGCAGCTGAGCCGTGCCAGTGCCCAGGCGGCTACACAGGTGCTGTGGTGGTGACCGTGGCGGCGTGACGTGACCTGGTCTAGGCTACGTGAAGTGTGCTATGGTGCTGTGCGGTGCGGGTTGGGGGGCTCTCTGCCGCCACTACCTTACCGTGCACGGTGAGTGAGGCTGTGAATCGCACCGCCGCCGCTGCGTTGCGAGCCTCACACGTGTAGCGACCCGAGTGCACCGCCGTCAGAGAACTCATAGCCAGCACACTCGAGAACGCGTCTATGACCTTCACCTGAATGTTGGGCGGCCCTCCTAGATCGAGAGGCCGCCCATCCTTGAGCCACTCCAGTTTTAGGGGAGAATCCCCCTGATTCACTCCACAAATCACACGAGTTCGCATGCCTTCCGACAAACCCTCTTGGAACGAAAAAGGTTCAATACGAGGGGGAACTGCAAAGGGATCAGATAAAAACATAAAAGTTAAGAACTTGGTCATGACACATATTTAGGGTGAAGAAAGTAGGGCGTGCCAGGCGGGCTTGAATACCGTGGACAGTGAGGGTGTAGGTGAAGCGGGTGGCGGCGGCGGCATTGGCAGCTACGCATGTGTAGTCTCCAGCGTGGTGTTGGCCCACTCGCTCGATGCTCAGCACGGAGTTGAAGGTGTTGAGGTTGACCACGGACAGGCCCCCACTGTGCGCACCACCCGAGGAGAGGGGAGAACCATCCCACAGCCACGTCAGAGAGAGCGGCTCATCTCCCCTTGACACGGTACACGTCAACGTCAGCCGTTCACCCGCTACCACCCGCTCACCCGCAGCGAACGGTGCTATCTTTGGGGGTACTGAGGGAGGGGGCACCAGGTCCTCATATTAGCTGCAGGTGACGTGCCCTGTTACTACCAACTGGGTTCCCTCCTCAATACTCATCAATCATATTTATTCCATCAATTCACATTAATCTTGATACAGTCAAAATCACATTAATCTTAATATTAACATGAACTATAAAATAATCTTGTTAAGAAGCTCCTAGTGTAAACAGTAATCTCCACAGATTTTTAACCTGAAAAAGAACCAAAACACTGAAATATATTATTATTAAACAAATGCTCCTTGTATATTTTCCCAGGTGGAGTTTGGTGGCTCTAAGTACTAAATGATGACTATGGACCAAGAAGCTCGAAAAGTGAGTCCATCTCACAGGACCCAACACACCCACTTAATCACAATGCCTGATTAATAATCTTGGAGAGAAACAACTAGCTTGGAACCCGAATTCATTTACAGCTGTTTTGGGATAAGAAATTGTGCTAAATGTTAACTTAATGTTTAAAATGAAAGTTAATTAGAACATTTAAAGCTGAAATTTGGAAGAAAATAGTCAAGAAAATTAAAATTAAAACAAGTGTTAAATGGTTATTTCTGTGTATTAGGTCCCAGTCATGCTATTAGCTTTTGCCGAGTAATTTCGTGAAAAAGGTGTGGGGTGAGGAGAGAGAGATTAGAGAGAGAGAGAGAGAGATGGGGGTGAGGGAAAGGCGAAATTGAGAGAGATGGAGAGATAAAAAGAGGAAGGAGAGGAACTGGAGGATGAACGAGAAAATGTTGATAGAAAGGAAACAGGACTATCTCCAAAGACCGCGTTATAGGCAATGGAGGTTTGTTACAGTGTCTGGCTCTGGAGTTAATCCCAATTCCAGTGGACATACTGGTGATCAGGTCATGGGCCAGAGGGGCTGTGGACCACTAACACTACACTTTCCCTCCTCACACCATCACTGACCCTCTCTTTCCCTCCTCACACCACACACACACTACCTCTCTCTCTCTCTCTCTCTCTCTAACTACTAAATATTCATTTTCATTTACTGTTTCAAAATTTTGCCGAAAACATTCTCCTCTTAATCGACGTGCTCTCGCGTATCTATCTTGTCTATAGATTATTTCACAATTCTCTTTACACAAGTATATGTACATCCACCTTTTTTCCTGACAAGCCCACGTGCATCACTCTTCCACCTGACCATCCCACGTACATCACTCTTCCACCTGACCAGCCCACGTACATCACACTTCCACCTAACCAGCCAACGTGCATCACCCTTCCACCTGACCAGCCCACGTGCATCACCCTTCCACCTGACCAGCCCACGTACATCACCCTTCCATCTGACCAGCCCACGTGCATCACTCTTCCACCTGACCAGCCCACGTGCATCACCCTTCCATCTGACCAGCCCACGTGCATCACTCTTCCACCTGACCAGCCCACGTGCATCACCCTTCCACCTGACCAGCCCACGTGCATCACCCTTCCACCTGACCAGCCCACGTACATCACCCTTCCATCTGACCAGCCCACGTGCATCACCCTTCCACCTGACCAGCCCACGTGCATCACCCTTCCACCTGACCAGCCCACGTGCATCACCCTTTCACCTGACCAGCCCACGTGCAAGCATCGACCTTCTGCCTGGAACATCATCTGACTGTTGTACCGTCCTCCTGTGTGTGTGTGTTAGGTATTGTACCAAATAAATGCAACAGTTTCATATTTCGCAAAGTGGAGGAATTTGAACCTAATCTAAAATAATTTACTCATTACAACAATATCGTGTTTCAATTACTCTTCTAAACATACCATACTTGATTGGATCAGGCTAATTTAATTTTATTTCCTAAAATAAAACGTTGAATTAATAACAATAAAACAATTAACTAAAAGATGCAAGGAAAAACTTGGGACTATATTCCATTCAGAATAAATATGTTCCATAGAAAGGTACATAAATTTGTTAGTTGTGGTAGAAAGTCAATAAAGATCAATTATTTATTTTTGACATGAAATGAGGCTCATTATCGTCAGAATAACCGAAAATAATCTGTTATAGCTTTCTTATATCGTGTATAAGAAAGTCCACATGAAATCTTTATGAAGCTTCAAATTAGAGCATTACTTTTACACATTATACAATATATTCAACTGCAATATACGTATATTGCATATACTGAGTGTGTTTAATGAAACATGATGATTTTGTTCCAGTTGTTAATTAATGTTGTGATGTGAAGCTGTAATGACTTCATGTGAGTGCATTGTATTAATGCTCTTGCGTTCATATGCAGGAGCATTAATACAGTGTGCTTCCCTGTATTTAAATGCCTGGCTTGAGAACGAGTCCTCAAGATCAAAAGTATTTGCAAACGAGCACATTACAGACATGAAATATGTGCACCAAATACATCACTAAATGAGTAGTTACTCTCTTAATAAGCAGACAAGGAGTCACAATAACGTGGCTGAAATAGGTTGACCAATCCACACGCTAGAAAGTGAAGGGACGACGACGTTTCGGTCCGTCCTGGACCATTCTCATTCACAATCGACTTAAGAATGGTCCAATACGGACCGAAACGTCGTCGTTCCTTCACTTTCTAGTGTGTGGTTTGGTCAATCTCTTAACTTTATAACGCTTTTGCGGTTAATAGAACTAAAACTCAACACCGAACGGTTACACACGGGCCTGGAGGGGGACTCACCGAGCACCGACACTCGAGCTGAACCAGTGGCCGAGCGACCCTGCTTGGTGGAGGCCGTGCAGGTGTAGACCCCGGCGTCCTCAGGCTGGCGGACCAGTTCCACCACCAGCGTCCCGTCACTCTTCACGCGCCGCTCCAAGGCCTGGCTCACACCCACACCGTCTGCGCCACAGGGAGAAACAACAACAATTACTGTGGAGTGGACGAATAGTGTACCAGTTCTGAACCTTGAACGTGGACCTTGGCCCTGGACCCACACCAAAGTCAAATTTACCGAAATGCTTAAAAATACTAAACTAATTAACAATTTATCCAACCCTGAAGAGATAATTTTTAAATGATTTCGAAATACAAAATAAGCTGGTGGTTGCGATGCTCCCACTCAGTCACGGGTCAGAAAACCCAGCAAAACAAACAATAAGGGAAATACTATAACCGAATTACCGAGTGTTTGATGTTCGTTCACAACGAGTTGGCTTAAGTTATATCAAAGTCGAATAAAAAAAAATACACAAAAAATTATGCAAATTAGAGGTTTGGAAATGTGGAGAAAGTATGTAATATTTGCATCAGACCCTTGTGTGATAATATTTTTTCCGAGTTTTCAAAATAACGAGAAACCTGTTTCTCAGCCTTTAAAATTTGGTTCCCATATAGGAGAGTATTTGTTAGGATCGCTAACATTAGCAACGATACACAACATCACTTCAAAAGGCAAACCAGTTATCGTATGTAGCTAATTCTTTGTTTTGTAGAACAACATTTTATATAATCTTGAAATTTATTCATCAGATGGGATGTGGTATTTCGTCCAAAGAGAATTGCATATTATATATATATATATATATATATATAATATATATATATATATATATATATATATATATATATATATATATATATATATATATATATAATGCAATAGTTACATCAGTTAACTATATATAGTTACATCAACACCCACACTGTAGGTCTGTAGTTACAACATCAACACCCACACTACAGTTTCCAGAAATGCAGTGGAAAAATAACCATATGTCTCACGGGGCATCCGGACTGGAAACGTTTAGAAATTGCATATTGTTTAATGCATATATACAAAGGAAATCAATTTGAATACATTTGCATTCTGTCCGGACCCATGACACGGCAGACAGCTGGCATCTATGCTACACTGAAGGTCAATTTAAAAAACACTGGCGCTTCTGATGGAATAATTGGAAGCTGAGTTTTTAAAAATGACTAACTAAATACAATTTCGCAAACGCACTCGCCCAGTTGCACGGTGCAGAGACCTTCAGAGAACACCTCTGCTCCTAGCTGAGCCTGCCAGCTACGAGCAGAGCCTGCCAGCTAGGAGCTGAGCCTGCCAGCTAGGAGCAGAGCCTGCCAGCTAGGAGCAGAGCCTGCCAGCTAGGAGCAGAGCCTGCCAGCTAGGAGCAGAGCCTGCCAGCTAGGAGCAGAGCCTGCCAGCTAGGAGCAGAGCCTGCCAGCTAGGAGCAGAGCCTGCCAGCTAGGAGCAGAGCCTGCCAGCTAGGAGCTGAGCCTGCCAGCTAGGAGCAGAGCCTGCCAGCTAGGAGCAGAGCCTGCCAGCTAGGCGCTGAGCCTGCCAGCTAGGCGCTGAGCCTACCAGCTAGGAGCAGAGCCTGCCAGCTAGAAGCAGAGCCTGCCAGCTAGGAGCAGAGCCTGCCAGCTAGGAGCAGAGCCTGCCAGCTTGGAGCTGAGCCTGCCAGCTAGGAGCAGAGCCTGCCAGCTAGGAGCTGAGCCTGCCAGCTAGGAGCTGAGCCTACCAACTAGATGCTGAGCCTGCCAGCTAGGAGCAGAGCCTGCCAGCTAGGAGCAGAGCCTGCCAGCTAGGAGCTGAGCCTACCAACTAGATGCTGAGCCTGCCAGCTAGGAGCAGAGCCTGCCAGCTACGAGCAGAGCCTGCCAGCTAGGAGCAGAGCCTGCCAGTCAGGAGCTGAGCCTGTCAACCGTGAGCTGAGCCTGCCAGCTAAAAGCTGAGCCTACCAGTTAAAAGCTGAGTCTACCAGCTAAAAGCTGAGCCTATCAGCTAAAAGCTGAGCCTACCAGCTAAAAGCTGACAGATATTTACAAGCGAATAAATATCGCAAAGACAATTGTAGATATTTCCCTCAGCACATATACACATACATCCACACATACTAGCTTTAGGTCCTTGCTGTGACAAGAGTGTACAAATGGGTAGAGGGAAGGGAAATCACGAAGAACAGCATGGAGTACTACATCCAGGTTTTTGAGAGAAAATTCTTTGACCATGTCGTAGCTCAGTCGATTAAGGCAGCGTCTGGGATCCTATTGGACGTAGGTTCGAAACCTTATCATGGCCCTTGTTGATTTGTTCACCACGCTCATTGCCAAAAGCGTGACAACTAACAGCTTAACCCACTTCTTTATCTCTAAAAAATAATCTGTGAAATTTTCTAGCTTATATTCAACTATATTCTTATCTCCGTTTCCAGATTGACAGTTCTTGATGAAAATAAACTTGTGAAGACGAGTCAATCAGTTGAAAATATTTGCGTCTTAATCTGTGATAAAGAATATGAGTATAAAACCAAGAATAAAGCAACAATCCTCTGCAAAATTCTACCAATAGATCAGTAAAAACAATTTTATTACATGACATCGGCATCAAATTTTAGAACGAAAATTTGTAATTATACCTTACCTTACAACAGTAAAAGTGGGCAGTCAACGTTCCGGTGTTTATAAAGGAAATGTGATTGATGTCAACAGTAGACGTCTCAGAAATATGGGATTAGAAGCTTTCACCAAAAATTCGAATCAAGCCGATATTCAATAACATTCGGGTGTGTCTTTGTGTATTTATACGTGTGTGTGTATGTGTGTGTGGGGAGGGTGTGTGTGTATGTGTGTGTGTGGGGGGTGTGTGTGTGTGTGTGTGTTTGTGTGTGTGTGTGTGTGTGTGTGTGTGTGTGTGTGTGTGTGTGTGTGTGTGTGTGTGTGTGTGTGTGTGTGTGTGTAGGGTGTGTGTGTGTGTGTGTGTGTGTGTGTGTGTGTGTGTGTGTGTGTGTGTGTGTGTGTGTGTGTGTGTGTGTGTAAAAGAAATATGTAGTAGACATAATAGAGTAAAAATAAATTGGCTAGACAGGCGGGATTCAAGAGCTAATAACTTAATTCAGACATAATCAAATAGTAAATACACACACACACACCATGACTAGAGAGTCAGGTCAAGTGTGAAGGACCTAGAAGGTCTGGGCAACGCCCCTTTAGTGAACTGCTGCAGTAAATACTGTTAAATATCCCAACGTGGCAACTGCGTCCTTCATAAAACCACCAATTTCAATACAATAAACTCCTTATCACGCATTTGGCTCACTAAAAGTGTTCGAATATTTTTTTATAATGTTTTTAATCCGTTCGAACCCTAGTGGTTGTTGTGAGAACTATATATAAACATGACTCCCGCCTCTAACTGCTTATAATAATTTTCTAAGAAATATTTGCTATTTTTCCACGTTTGCTTTTATTCTTAAGCGGGAGACCAAAGCTTAGTAATTTTTAATTCTCTTTCAGTGTTCTATATTTTTGGTCACAAATCGTTACTACACTCTGGGTGTTTTTACGTAGGATATCTTACTCTCTATAAGACGTATGCTGTAGACGCACTATGTAGACGCATGATGAAGACGTATTACATGCGCAATGAATTTACATTAACGTGTTGTATCAATGGGAAAATCAATAGAGCCATGAGGAAGATTGGAACCCGTTCACACTTGATACTCCCAAGCTAACACCGTAAACTACGCCTTGGTCAAAAGCAATGCAACCTGTGATTCAACAGAATCCTGTAGAGGTCCCGAGGTTTCTACTGAAGCCCCGGGACTCATAGTACTTTTCTCCTCGCCATCTACAACTCTCTCCTACAACCACCTACAACACCAACAACACACCTCTCCTACAACCACCTACAACACCAACAACACACCTCTCCTACAACCACCTACAACACCAACAACACACCTCTCCTTCAACCACCTAAAACCTTGAACACCAACAACACACTTCTTCTCTCCTCCAGCCAGTGTTGCGTGTTTGTTTATTACTGGACAACAAACACTAAAACCTGACCCCACACACACACACACACACAAATATGGTATTTAAAAGCAGGTATGATATAGAAATTGGCCAGGAGTCATTGCATTAAACGGCTAGAAAAACGGGATCCAAGAGTTAGAGCTCGATTCTGCAGGCACAAATAGGCGAGTACAATTAGGTGAGTACACACACACACACACACACACACACACACACACACACACACACACACACACACACACACACATACACACACACACACACACACACTTGCTAACTCTTGGCAGCAGTCTCTGCTTTCTTGTTGGTTGCTTGGGATCTGTGACGCCTCCTGAAACCCACAAGGGCCTTGTTGTGGGGTTCTAGATAAATTTATACACATTTGAGATGATTTTGAAGATGATTGATGTTAATTACATATATTTATTTCACATGTCTGTTGTAAGCCATTGTCTGGCAAAAAAATTGTCTTCTATTGGCAAATTACATATTTTACATTATTTATCAACAACAATACTGGAATAAGAAATATGTCGTCCAAAGAATACATCAGAAGACAATGGTTCTGGACCATTATCCAGGACGGACCGAAACGTTGTCGTTTCTCCATCATCTGAGGTGTGGTTTGGTCATCATGTCTTCTGCCACGTTATTGTGACTCGTCGTCTGAAACATGAAATATGTCTGTTGTATTTATCAGTTAAAATTTTTATAACTTTAGAAATCCATAACGCACTGAGGTCTTAAAATTTATCAGGAGTTCTCTGCTATGACAGTCCATCAAGCAAGTAACTTATACAAGCCATAGTAACTTATACAACTTATACAAATTCATAGTCAAAAAACAAAAAAAATCTCACATGTATGATCATAATTGGAATCACATTTTTTTCTAATGCGCTGAAATTTCCCACTGCTCATGAACATCTCACAGTACGATAGGCACATTGGTGCTTTGAATAGAAGCGTAATTTTTCAATAAAGAGCAAAGAATTATTCCTAATCTTGAAATGCTAATAGAAGATATGATCCACGTCATTCCTAGAGACAACGACGAGCTGCTGCGCGAG